GAAAATATCTTAAATATTAACAAAAAATATATGATTAATAGTTTGCTCTCAATCCTAATTATAGGTTTGGGATCGAAATTAATCACATAGAAAATAACTTGAAGTTTGCCTTTCTGGTTCTATACCTTTCAGGGGAATAACAAATTATACAAATGATTAAAATATCTTTTATTTTCAAGAAATTCATATGATTAATAGTTTGCTCTCAAACCTAATTATAGGTTTGGGATCGAAATTAATCGCATAGAAAATAACTTGAAGTTTACCTTTCAGGTTCTATACCTTTCAGGGGAATAACAAATTGTATATTTAATTAAAATATCTTAAATATTAACAAAAAATACATGATAAATAGTTTGCTCTCAATCCTAATTATAGTTTTTTTATCGAAATTAATCCGAGATTAAATTCATTTGAAGTTTTTATTTCAGGGGAATAACAAATTATACAAATAAATAACAAAAAATATATGATTAATAGTTTGCTCTCAAACCTAACTATAGGTTTGGGATCGAAATTAATCACATATAAAATAATTTGAAGTTTACCTTTCTGGTTCTATACCTTTCAGGAGAATAACAAATTAAACAAATGAATAACTTATCGTGACAGAATTTTTTTCTTAATCTTAGTTTGCTCACTATCTAAATTAAAGGTTTTAAATCGAAATTTATCAAGGAATAAGCAATTCAAGTTTCCTTTCTGGTATCGTAAATTTTAGGGGATAAACAATTAAATAAATATTAAGTGTTATTAATTATTTGTTTCAAGGGGTGTGCCCGATCCTAAGATCCGTATCTTCGATCTTGGACGTAAGAAGGCTGGAGTTGATGAGTTCCCTCTGTCCGTTCACTTGGTGAGTAACATAACAATACAGGGTAACATTTCAAATATGAGTCTGTTAATCTGATTGAATCCATTCATTTTATTGCTTCCTAAGTGATTAGTTTAATAATTAAGCTTGCAGTTACTAGGATTCATGAATTTATGAAAACCTACTAAGTTGAATACCGTACAGACGTCTCAGTAGTCTCTATCTTTGTGGATTACCATGAATTTATGAAAACCTACTATTTAGTTGAATACCGTACAGTTACTAGGATTCATGAATTTATGAAAACCTACTACTAAGTTGAATACCGTACAGTCGTCTCGGTAGTCTCAATCCTTGTGGATTACCATGAATTTTCGTTCCATCAAATCAGGAGTAAAATAATTTTAACGCATTTTCTCCCAACGCGTGTTAATTTCGACCCAAGTCCTTCTTCATATTTCCTAAATTCGCTTTAAATATATTTTTCATTAACAGACAAATGTTTACTTAGGTACCGTTGTGACTCTGATGTGCCACTGCACTTGAAATTATGCCTTATTTTTTTAGGGGTTCGAATAAGTCTGGATTTCAGTTTTAAGTCGCGATCTAAAAAATCTAAGTTTCAATTTTTAGGTTTCTGACGAGCTGGAACAGCTGTCCTCCGAAGCTATGGAGGCTGCTAGGATTTGCTGCAACAAGTATCTTGTGAAGAACTGCGGAAAGGACATGTTCCACATTAGGTACTTCCTTTCTAAAATACTTATTTCATCAAAGTTGTTTGGATGTCGGAATTCTTGGACCAAAAATTTTGTCATGGACATTAGTTAGCTAGAAATTACCTAAGTTTGGCACGCCCATTGGGCATTGACCAGGGATACAGTTTTTTAAAAATATTTCAGGGGTTATATGAAAGTTGTCCAATGACGTTTACCCTAATTAATCCTTGCGTTAGAATTGTACACATTTTTTAAAACATGGCGTTGAAAATAGGTTCCTAAATTTGTTCAATATAGAATCTAACTCAATTTTCAACCCTGGTTGTCAAGAGTAGAAGTACATTCATTCTTGGTTCGGTATGGTTTATCTATTGCTGACAACATTTTATTGCTTATTTTTTGGGTAGGAATTTGATAGTTAAGAGACAAAGTTTCTCAGTAGGATTTAAAAATAGTTAATAAAATTGCACAAGCCTTACCTTCGTTCTTCTCAAAAGCACCGTGTCGACCAATATGTCAATTCTGGTCGTCAGTAGAAGTAGATTAACTTGTTTCTGGGTGTGATTAATCAACTCTCAGTGAGATTAGTCTCAATCAGATCCATACATACCGCCATTTTTAAGATCTAGAGTTATATTTACGTTAACTTGGTTTATTAACCCCTAAAATTTTCAAATCTAGAGGTTTTTAGTAAACTACAATTTATCAATCCGTTGTTCTTCTCAAAAGCACCGTGTCGACCCAAATGTCGACTCTGGTCGTCAGTAGAAGTAGATTAACTTGTTTCTGGGTGTGATTAATCTACTCTCCTTGAGATTAGTCTCAATCAGATCCATACATACCGTAAAGTTCATGTAACCTGTTTCTGGGTGTGATAAATCATTATCAGTGAGATTAGTCTAAAGCAGATCATTTAAAAGTCTTCAGTTAAATTATGCTATGCTCAGAAATGCAAGTTACTTCGTAACTCCTTGAAATGTCTAACTTTAAAGTTTATCCTTAATTGTTCTTCTCAAAAGCACCGTGTCGACCCAAATGTCGACTCTGGTCGTCAGTAGAAGTAGATTAACTTGTTTCTGGGTGTGATTAATCTACTCTCAGTGAGATTAGTCTCAATCAGATCCATACAAACCGTAAAGTTCATGTAACCTGTTTCTGGGTTTGATAAATCATCATCAGTGAGATTAGTCGCAATTAGATCCTTTAAAACTCGTCAGTTCAAATTTGTTTTCCTATTTTTGTTAATTTAAGTCGAGGAATATGAAAGCTCAGAAATTGCAAGTTAGTAACTCATTGAAATGTCAAACTGAATGGTTTCTTTTGTACAAAAAAACTTAAACTTTATTGTTCTTCTCAAAAGCACCGTGTCGACCAATATGTCAATTATGGTCGTCAGTAGAAGTAGATTAACTTGTTTCTGGGTGAGATTAATCTACTCTCAGCAATATCAGTTTTAATCCAAACGCTTGCAATATTAAATGACAACTAAATTTTCCAGAAGTTTAGCTTTTTGCGTGCTCGTTTTATCCTTCTTTATTTTGTGTACAACCCAGTATTTAATCTGCCTTTGATTGACGGATATTTTAAAATAATTATTATTTTTATTGAATTTATTTTGTTCAGGGTTCGAGTCCATCCCTTCCACGTTCTCCGAATTAACAAAATGTTGTCGTGCGCTGGAGCTGATAGGTTCGTTTATTTAATTGTAAATTATTAATTATTTTATTGGTGATGAGAACCTAACCTTGATTACAGATATGATTGTTAAACTCTAATTTTTTCCTGAAATAATTCACTTTTAATTCAAATTTACATTGTACTGCACTTGTTTTAACATGTACTGTACTGTTAGGCTCCAGACCGGGATGAGAGGAGCTTTCGGTAAGGCTCACGGTACCGTTGCTAGGGTTGCCATTGGTCAAATCCTTCTGTCTGTCCGTTCCACTGATAAGCACAAGGTTAGTCATCGATTTTAAAACTGATTTTCGCAGATTTGCGTATTTTCTGGCTTAGCTCGACCAGTGTAAAGCAGATTTTGTGCATCTTGTGGATCTTATGTTAGTTTTGCAGATGTTAAGGAATTATGAAAATCAACTAAATTTTTAATTTATAGGATTCAGTAAACAAAAAATCTTATATCAATCTTAATAAATAAAATGTTTATTTTTAGGATGCCGTTGTCGAAGCCCTTCGTAGATCCAAGTTCAAGTTCCCCGGACGTCAAAAGATTTACATCAGCAAGAAGTGAGTTATCCTAGATATTAATATATTATGCGTAGGAAGAAAGTGTAATAATCACAATTATTGTTAAAATAATATATTATTAAGAATTAGTTTTTAACCTCGATAGAAACTCAGTTCTGTTCGTAAGTTTCTATCTAAAACATTACTTTTTTGAAATGAAATCTTATTACATTTAAAGTAAAAATTTATTTTAGAAAAAGCATTTTTTCTACCTACTAAAGATTCAAGGTGCTTCGCGCCCTTATCTCTAGACTTTTAAGGCTCCTCGCGCCCATCTTCTATTTAAATTGTGAACATGTTCTTTTGCGGATTTTAAAAAAAATCGCGGATTTTCGAGAATTTAATTTTTTTTAAATTTGGGCCCGATCGGTTCAGCCTTTTTGACGTTTATTGGATTCAAACAGACAGACAAGCCAAATTTATATAGATTTATGTTACAAGTTATGTTGTATATTTTGCAATCTAAAAATTTGAGCTCACAAAATTGATGTTTAGGTGGGGCTTCACCAAGTGGGACAGGTGTGATTACGATCAGATGAAGGCTGACGGAAGGATCATCGTAAGTATTTTCAAGGACTTCTTCTCTTGGCTGCAATTATTAATTATTTGACAGGGGTTTATGATTTCTCAGTTGTACCAGATGTATTGTATGTTCGCTGAATATGGGAAAATAAAATCTTTAAATGGGATTGGAAATGATAATTTTAGCACAAATTCTCCCCCCCNTCCCCCTGGAAAATAGAAGCCCACGTGAACATGAAGTAGAAGTTAAATGCCTTAAAAATTTAACAGCAGATAACATTGAATCTCTTCTTTATTTTGCGTAGAGCATTAATCCCTGAACAGTTTTTTTGTTGTAGAGGAATAACATTTTTTTTCGGAAGTTTCGACCGACGTTTCCACGGTCTTATTGAATAATGGCTAGCTTCTTAGTTATAATTACTCAAATTTTTATTTGAAAATCTGCCTGGCATTGGAAATTATATTTCATGTTCACTAAATTTGACTTTTCTAGAACGATGGTGTGAACGTTAAGTATCTACCTGAACACGGACCCCTCGCTGCCTGGTGCAAGGTTCAGGCCTCCCTCGCCGGTGTTTAAATCTCCAGGTGTACCTGGGAGCAGGAGATCCTCTAACATCTGGGATATATACCTAGCTACTGCTGCTTGTTTATCTTTAACGATAGAATAAAAACTTTACAAAATTTGTTATTTATTTATCTCGCCAAATGAATTAACAAAATTTCTATCGGTAAGAACCTCATATTAATGTAAACAAATATTATTCTATTTTATAATATTGATTGATTTTGTCTCAAACTGCTACTTGAGGTTGTAATCTAATGTTCTACATTTCGAAAGTTCAATCTTTTCCTCTATCTGATGAGAATTAGGACAGTGCCACATTTTCCCCTATCTGATGCCATATTGATGAGAATGAGGACAGTATGCCACACTTTTCTCTATCGGATGATATGCTGATAAGAATTAGGACAGTATGCCACATTTTTCTCTAACGGATGACAAGAATTGGGACAGGGCCACATTTTTCTCTATCCAATGGCATACTGACAAGAATTAGGACAGTAGGCCACATTTTTCTCTATCGGATGACATGCTGATAAGAATTGGACATTTTTCCCTACTGATGAGAAATACATTATTCTAAACAATTCAGATGATCAAAGGATGGTGTATTCGCACTACGCAAATTCACTTATGATCCACGCCAAATCCGTTATACTACTGATCTGAACTATTAGCACGTAGTATACAGATGCTAGATGGACTTGTGGCCGCAGCTTTCTTTTACAATGATTCTATCTTATCAATAATTTTGTTTGAAGCTAGCATTAGGAATGTTGAACCAAATTCTAAATGTGAGTGGAAAAAGGAGTAATAGAGCATTTTCATGTCTTCAAAGCTTAAGAAGTTTTTAATTTTTTTCATAGCATGAAGTGAAAAGCTAACCTCTTGTATATCTTTTTTAATCAGTCATCAATGTTCAATTTTGTGTCCAGCCATATTCCCAAGAATTTCACTGAAACATTTTCTTTTATTCGTTCAATTTCTCGTGTAGATTCTCCTAACTAAAAGAAAACATCAGGACAGTAGGTCGTTTTGTGCATTTAGAGAATTTAAAACAAAATTGCATTAGTTTTCTCAAAGTTATATAGTAAGTTTATTAGACATGTACCAACAAGTTATTTTTTCTAATTCTTTATTTACTGTGTCCATGGTAGTCTGCTAGAGTATTCAAGTTTTTACATTTTGATGCCACATTTGTGTCGTCGGCAAAGGCTACACTTAAAAGTGTGTTAGATTGAAAGAAGTCATTTACATAGATAATGAACAGTAAACAGCTTAGTCTTGATCCTTGAACAAGACCCATCTCTAATATTTCGACTAAGTCCGAGAAGGTACAATTTATATCGACTTTTTGCCCCCTGCCCCGTAAGTAAGATTCAAACCATTGTATTGTGTTGCCCCTAATTCCTGCGTTGTCAAGCTTTTTGAAGTATCTAGTAATCAATACAGTCTTAAACTTTAGAGATATCTAGCATGATAAGTAAAACAGATTCATTATCATGCTGAAAATGCACTTTAAAAGCTTAGTAATTGCTTGCATAACGTTGCGTCCTGGCAAAAAATCAAATTGATTTGTTTTTAAAAAGTTATTATTGTTGAGAAATGAAAGCATTCTTTTAAACATAATTTTTTCCAATATTTTAGAAAATCCGTTGATTAATCCAATTGGACGAAAATTGGATAAGTCGTCTTTTTTATCTTTTTATGAATAGGAATAGTTCTGGACATTTCCAACAAAAAGAGATGTTGCGTATAGACGATGTAACATAACCGTCCAAAGTTATGTTTCTATACATATAAAATGTAGCTTGATGGGACATGTTAAGAAATATTACGTATCTCGAAGACTGCTCGTTGCTCAACAAACTTGTGAAAAACCATATGCGAGGAAATGAGTTTTTTTTGCGTTTTCATATTTAATACAATTGAGAACTAAATGTGCATTGTTTTTGTGAACTACTTGTTTCCAGTCTTAAAATTTCGGTTAAATGGTGTGGGGAGCGGGGGAAGGCAGGTTGCCATGAGCCACCACTATTTCCTCTTCCGTACCACAACATTTGACTTTTCCGGGCAAAACTTCTTTTTTAAATGGTATATTTAGGGCCTTTAAAGTGTGATTTTAAAAAACGCAGCCGCGTCACGCAAAAAGCACAACTCAACCCATTTTTTCAATTCTACTTAAGATTAATCTTAATTATGTGTTGAATTCTTTAACTGTTTTACAATTAAATTTTTGACAAATTTGACTGAGTATTGCATCTTGAAATATCACAAAGTCGGTTAATGAGCGATTTTAAGATGGATTTAGCAGTAATTGAATAATCATTAGACTTTGTGATATTTAAAGATGCAATACTCAGTCAAATTTGTCAAAAATTTCATTGTATCTCTCTCTCTTGGCGTACGAAAAAGTTGTCTGTACTCAGTAGAATTGTTCTCGTTCAACCGCAGACAAGCTTGAGTCCCGGGTCGGATTTAAAGACATGCTTGTGCACCAAATACTTCATTTTTTCATGACCTACCTCCAAATCTCAAAAACAAAGTGAAAAATTACATAGATAAATAGGGTTTCCAATTAAAAAATTTTGCACGAAAATCGTGCAATAATTGCGGAAAGATTTTCTCACGTTTTCGCGTAAAAATTGCACAAAATTTCAATATATTCTCGCATTGATGCGCAAAAGCTATTTTTATTTAAGAAAGTAACCAACATTTTCACTGTGTCCTGTGAAATGATTGGTCATGATGATAATGGAATTATTGGTCATGAAAAAAATACTGCAGATATGGAAGTTGTTTTTTACTGAAACTATAATTCATATCATACTATCCAAATATTTATATCTTTTATATATTTGAGCAATTTGTCATTAAACAGATATTGCTTTTTTTCGTATTCATGAAAATCATGCAAAAATTATGACTGTAATTATGTTTTCATTTGCAATTTCGTGACAAAAAACATTATTTCGAATGAATGCGCAATTTCGTGCAAACGAGAAGCCAGAAATTAAAAGTGAAGAAAACATTTCGAAATTGTAGAATCTTTTATACAATTTCCAATAACCTCTGCTTTGCTTTGCTTGTTGTAGTTTTTAGTGATCCTTCATTTAAAAGGAACATGTCCAATTCACAATGGTACCTTTAATACCTTAATCTATTCCATTGTTTCTAAAGAAAAAAATCGCAAGTCTGGTTTTGTATTGATACAAAAATGATGCGAAATTTCATGCAAATAGGCGAACCTGTTGCTTACTGTATCATGGAAACCCTTCAGACAAAGAAACAACAAACAGAGTGAAACGTTTTGTTAAGTGAAAGATCAAATCCATTAACTTTGCAATTAATAGTTAATTCTACTTTAAAAACCGGGTTTATATTTTCAGAAGTATTTACAAATGATTTAAACTATTCCAACAAACCCTCAAACCCTAAGTACTCCGTCACAAAAAACTAGTATAAGATATTGTTTTAAATATTCAACTAAATTAATACATTGTCATTTTTATTTTTAACTATACTATACTTTAACTATATATTTACTGATTATTTGCGACTACTGTGTCCTAGTTGAGGAGCCTACCGATTTACAGTCATTCAATTCTACCTATCCATGACCAACCGACTCACCGTCAATCAATTCTACCCATCCATGACCAACCGACTCACAGTCAATCAATTCTACCTATCCATGACCAACCGACTCACAGTCAATCAATTCTACCTATCCATGACCAACCGACTCACAGTCAATCATTTCTACCTATCCATGACCAACCGACTCACAGTCAATCAATTCTACCTATCCATGACCAACCGACTCACAGTCAATCATTTCTACCTATCCATGACCAACCGACTCACAGTCAATCAATTCTACCTATCCATGACCAACCGACTCACAGTCAATCATTTCTACCTATCCATGACCAACCGACTCACAGTCAATCAATTCTACCTATCCATGACCAACCGACTCACAGTCAATCATTTCTACCTATCCATGACCAACCGACTCACAGTCAATCAATTCTACCTATCCATGACCAACCGACTCACAGTCAATCATTTCTACCTATCCATGACCAACCGACTCACAGTCAATCAATTCTACCTATCCATGACCAACCGACTCACAGTCAATCATTTCTACCTATCCATGACCAACCGACTCACAGTCAATCAATTCTACCTATCCATGACCAACCGACTCACAGTCANACATAAACATAAACATAAACATAAACATAAACATAAACATAAACATAAACATAAACATAAACATAAACATAGACATAGACATAGACATAGACATAGACATAGACATAGACATAGACATAGACATTGAATTAAAAAAAAATCGAATTTTGTAAATCAAAAATTCGATTTTTAGCCTTTGTTACCCTCAGGGTACCCAAGGATTTCCTAAAAAATGTCAGCCAATTTGGACGCCAGCTATGGCTAACATAAATATATATATATATAATTATATATATGAGTGAAGAGCTTTACTATAAAAAAAAACACATTTCTGTAACAATTTGAGGCTGTAGATACATCATACAGGCGGCCACGGCTTCGGCTGCTGCCACTTAGGAATAACAGTATCATCCCACATGTCATGCTAACTCTGTGACCCATGCACTCCGGAAGGAGGCAGATGTTTGCCGGGAGGGGAGGGTGGTTACCTGATAGCAATTGTGTTATTGGGGAGTCATAATAGATGGATAGATAGATAGATAGATTTAGATATTTATCAACTAATATAGATTATTTTCTATTTTGCAGAGAATGTGCCCGTTTTTAAGCTACTGTAGTAGTCAAGGAAGCGAACTTGAGGAAGAAACATGTTGCTCTTCAGGTAATCTTCAATCAAACAATGCTGAAAGTAAAAAAAAATTTAATTTATAACGAGAAATGTATATACTAATTCCATTTTCAAGTCTATTTTCTGACTTTGTTTTTAGTTTTGGCACTGCACCCCCCCCCTGTATTGGTCCTTGCTTAAAAACGATCTAATTTTTACTGTTGTAATTCGTTAATAATACTTTTTTTAAATGGGGTAATTAAAAAAATTAAAGTTGAATAAAATATTGTTTAATAGGCTGGCGTTGTAATTCCAAGTACTTCCCTCATATTTACAACATTACACTTTAAACCTTTATCTGGTCAATTATTCTAACAATTCTCT